TGCTTTGCCAAGCTTGTTCCAAGTAGGTGCTTTAGACCACTGAGCCATCTCTCCAGCCCCGAAATTAGATATTATACAACCTCGTCCAACGCTCTGCTGGCTCCTGATGATGTCTGAGAAGAGGAAGGCAAAATGGGACACAAGATAATCCGCCTCCTCCCATCTTTTTTTTTTGTGGCGAAACTAGGGATTGAACTCAGGCCCTTGCACTTGCCAGGCAAGTGCTCATTCTACTGAGCTATTTCCTCAGTGCTGTCTCCCATCTTAATGGAAAGTAGTGAGAAGCCTTTTTGGCTGTTCTAAGAGGAGCTAGGAGGCTTGCTGTAACGCTCTACAGCCATATGTAATCCCTGACATAATTTCTGCCACACCAGCCCTCCCCCACCCTCCCAGGCAGGCTCCTTCCAAACCATGACCACACATTGAGATCAAGAACCACTCCTTGAGCGACTGCATGTGATGTGTGACAGGCGTGTGCATGACAGGGAGGGTCTCCCTGCAGGTCCACTTACCCACAAAGGCCGGGAACGCAGCAAAAGACGGTGTCACCTGGGGAGCAGCAAAGGGGTCTCCCCCGATGTCAGCCAACAGGTCGGTGCTGGCTTTCTTGGTGGAGGAGTGTGGAGGAGGCTGGGAACTCCGGGTCTGGGCTGTCCGAGCCTGAGACTGGCTGACAGACTTCAGGGAAAAAGGATGGCATGTGGCAGAAACTTAGAATCCCAGAGAGAACCCAGGGCCCTGTGTGCTCCCCAGGCCACCCCCAAGACAGGCAAAGGGGATGGGCAGAGTGAGCAACTGCCCCCAACTGAGCAGCTACCCAGGTGAAGTTGTCTTAGCTCTTCTCAGAACTGAAATCAAATTCATCTTCTAACTATGAGGTCGGATTGAAAAATACAGTGAATAATGGTCAGGGTTGCAGCTAACACTGACTTCCTCACACCACTCCATGCTGGGTTCTGTCTTCCAAGGGATATAAAGTATAGAGGTGACAGATGCCAGCTAGGGGGAGGAGCAGGGCTGGAGACTAACTCACAGCTATTGCGTGGTTTAGGATAGTGGCCCGTCTCACAATCCACCTCACCTGAGCCCTATGTCGACGTGTAGGGAAGATCTGAGTTACCTGGCTAGAGGCAGCAGCAGTTTCTGTGACAGGGTCCCCCAGAAGTGTCCGCTGGGGCTTCCCCTCTGGCATGGAGCCCTGGACAGAGGTGGAGGAGCTGCCTTTGGTATAAGCAGGCCCCTTGACTTGGTCCGGAGGGACATACCTTTGAGAAAAGACAGGCAGGCTATAAAGAGGGCGGAGACCTTGGGCCAGGCTCAGTGTAGATATACTTGGGAACACACAGGTTACAGGGGGCAAAGTTCTTTCTCATATTTTCTTTTTTTATGTATTTGGTACAGGGTCTCACTATGCAGCTTAGACTCATAGTGGTCCTCCTGTTTTCAGCCTCCCCAGCACTGGGATTACAGGTGTGCCGCCACCACTCCCGGTCTTGGTGGCCAGCTCAGCCGGGGGTGGGCGCTGTGGTGCCAGGGATCGAACCCCGATAGTTGTGCTTGCCTAAGCAGGTGCTTAGTTTGCTGAGCTATCTTGCCAGCCCTTCTCATATTTTCTTTACTAACGCCCTCCTTAGAAGGGAATTCAGCAACTTTGAAAGTTTTGCCTTTCTTGGGACTGAAAGGGTAGCTCAGGGGTACACTGCCTTAGTCTAACACTCAGTCCTGCCCAGAAAAAAAAATAAAGAGTGCTCTTTCTTGAGTGTGCCCTCGAGCGCCCTGATGTTATTTTTCCTGTAGGAATGGTTGCTTTGCTGGGCTGCTCCTGTTTTCCCTTCTCTCCCCGTCCTCTTTTGACATCTTAATCTATATGGGTTTCAAGTAACAGCACACACAATTGTGCCATCCTACCTCCCAGCCTGCTATCAAGGTCCCTTTGTCACTTCTGGTGTCTCTTCCTCGGTTCTGCTCAGCTCACAGAGAAGGTACTCACTTGGTATTACTAGTGCTCACCGGCAGCCTGCCCTCCCGGTCCTGCCACTTTTGATAAGATTCCCTTCTATCTAAGACCCCTTGGAATCCCTGCTTCCTGGAGGCTGGGGCAGAAGGACTGCAGGTGATGGCCAGCGAGGCAACGTAGCAATGGGAGGTGGGTGTATATGTGGAAGTTGAGGGTGTAGAAGGCCCTGGATTCGAGCCTCAGTATCACACCAAACAAGAACCCTTCCCACTATGGTACATGTGGTCCCAACACTGGAAGTAACTTTTTTTGTGATACCGTCAATTGAACGCAGGACCTTGTACTTGCCAGGCAGTTATGCCACTGAGCTATCTCCCTGGCCTTGGAAACATCTTAATTTGGAGACATTATAATAAGATTGAAAAACATGCTTCTCTGTTTTGGAGACAGGGTTGTGGTAGGTAGTGCAAGTTGGCCTCGAACTCACAACAATCCACCTGCCTCAGCCTCATGATCAAAATCATGGTTTACCCATCAGTCTCCCTACTTTCTGTGTTGTGTTCCCCACTTTTTTTTTTTTTTTAATTTTAATGTATTTAGTACAGAGTCTGCAGGGTCTCACTACACAGATAGGACTCATAGTGATCCTCCTGTTCTCAGGGTCCTAAGAGCTGGGATTACAGGTGCCCAGCCTCAGTTGCTGTCTCAGCATGCCCTGGGGGCGGGGCCGACATGGTACACTGGGGATCAAACCCTAGTCCCTACATCCGCCTAAGCAGGGGCTTTAATTTACTGAGCTATCTGGCCGGCCCATCTTACCCACTTCAAAGTCACCCACGGCCCCAAAAGGCACATGCCCCAGAGACCAAACAACTGGACAGAGAAAGCAAAGGAGAATGGAACAAGCTGTTTTCTTCATCAGGAAAACAGAAAACCTGTAAGCTATCAATAAAACACTGGGCTCAGTGGATAAAGGTGCAGGTCAGGTGCTCTCCGCCATCTCTCCGTATGTGAGATCAGCTGAGCTCCAGAAACTGCGTCACACTCCCACCAGCCCATCTCCCCACAGTAATCTCGTCTCCCCCAAAGCCTCGGATTTTACAGCTGAGAATGCACTGTCCTCCCATGTTGTTTAGTAGTCAGAAATTAGTCCTAATTGAAGCTGAGTGGAACATTCCCCACTCAAGCCCAGCCTCTGAGCAACACCCACACCACCTGGAAACTGGACTGTCAGAGGAAACATGTCTTGGACACACGTCTCCACAGCCATCTCTTCCTTCTCACCATCTTTTCTTTTCGTATTTTTCCTGGAGAAACTCCTTCACCTTCTGGGGATCCCTGGAATCTGGTATTAAAGACGTTCGAGCATCAAAAAGACCCAGCCAGATCTTCCTGCAGACCTGAAAGAGCAGGACCAGGTGACAGGAGTTGGAGTAGAAAGCATGAAACGTGAATGATCGCTTCAGGGTGTCTTCCCTCAATGAGCACTTCCAATGTTTCCATCAATAAAGATTTATTGAGCTTGGACACAATGCTAGGATTGGGATCTATGAGATATGATCAAAATAAGATCATATTTATAAGAATATTTTTAAAATATTATAGTGAAAGACACCAATACCTCTTCATGTCCCTCAAAATCCCCCCCTCACTTGAAACACATCCCATTGTTCTTGCAACTTTCCAAAGCAGTTCTGGAAGTCCTCTTTCCTCAGTGTCTGTAGTTGTGCTGTTGTGGCTGCCATGATGTCCTAAATCAATTAAAAATCGTTTCCCTTCCACGGTCATTCTGACTCTAGGGAAGAGCTAGAAGTCACACAGTGCCAGATGGAGTGAATAAGGCAGTGCGCACCCTGTGTCATGTTTTTATGTGCAGCCTTTCCACTGGATGACATTGGGGAGCAGCAGTCACTACATTTTTTTTTTTTTAATGAATTTAGTACAGGATCCACAGGGTCTCACTACACAGATCAGACTCATGGTGATCCTCCTGTTTTCAGCCTCCCAAGCGCTGGGATTACAGGCTTGCACCACCACGCCCTGTGTAGTCACTGGATTTTTTTTATCACACTGCATGAAAACACAAAAGAGGATTTGCAGAAGTGCTTCAGAAAGTGGCAAGAATGGTGGGAGAAGAAGGGGGGGGGGCTTTGAGGGGGACTCATGGCAATGCGTCTTTTACTGTAATGAATGTTAAAAAGTTTAAACATTAACTGTATATTTGATCACAGCTGGTATTTATAGACTCTCATCCTCACAGAGTTTCTAATCTAATGGGCAGCTCCATGCCAGAGACAAAGATAAACTAACAATTATACAGTGCTATGTGTATTGAAAAAGGAAAGCAGAGAGCCATGAGAATATGGACAACCAGGTTTGGATGGGGATGAGGTCAGGGCCAATTTTTGGAGCCTTTGATGTCACCCTGTATGTAACCCATTCATCCACCTGTAAGTGACAAGTACTGCTCAAGCCAAGGACAGCAACTCTAGTCAGCAGCTTTAGCTGGGGAAGGGCGCTACTTACCTTGCAAGTGAATGGCATGGAATGAAACCAGGCAGTCCCGGCTCAAGGCAACAGGGCTGTCCCAGCTCCACGCCAGGGCGCCAGCCCAGCTGCCTCTGAAGGTGCATCCACACACACAGACCTCTAACCATTTGAATAAATAAACCAAACAAAAATACAAAATAAATAAACTCAATTGAGTCTTTTTTTTTTTTTGGTACTGAAGATTAAACCCAGCGCTTTTACACTGAGTGACATCACCAGTTCTTTTGTATTTTTGTTTGATTTATTTCTCTCCCTATAGAGATGTTGCTCCTTTTGATTTCTCATGATGGGGTGTAGACAAATACAACTGTATAACTAGGGTTCTATATGTAAATATTCAAATATACAGAAGACATGAAATGTCATGTGCTGGCTGGGTGTGGTAGTGGGGCACACCTGTGATCTCAGCGTTCTCCTGGCTGAAGCAGGAGACCTGCAAGCTCACGCACTCCCTGAAAACTTACTCTGTCTTGAAATAAAAAATAAAAAGAGCTGGGATGTCGCTTAACGCAAAGGCCCTGAATTCAACCTCCAGTACCTAACAAAAGAAAAAAAATCTATATTAAAAAATTAAGAGAAACTCAGTCAAGTGTGGTGGCACACACCTATAATCCCAGCACTTGGGAAGCTGAGGCAGGAGGGTCACCTTGAATTCTGGGCAAACTTAACCCCCAAAGAGAACTGTGGAGTTTTTCTGATACGGAGACAAGGCTCTGCTGGTGGGCAGGACAATGGCAGCTTCCTGATGGCCTCCTGAGGGAGAGCTCACCTCATTTCCACGGGACTGCAGAAACAGGACCTCAGGCTCCGTGAAAGTTGTCATGGAGATGGACTTGACACGATGAGGGGGGTTCAGCCCTCTCCTGGGGGAGGGAGAAGGCAAAAGACACGGTCAGCCAGCGGGCATGGCAGGTCTAGCTTACAGGCAGCAGGAGGAAGAAGGGACACAACAGCACAGCCAGGCCAGAGAGCGAGACCCCCGCCCAGCGCTGGGCTGCAACTCAGCAGGGGGTGGGGGGCACTTGCTCGGCACAGGCAAGCTGCTGGGCCCTATCCTGCACACCTGGAGCTGCTTCCCACGACCAGGAAAGGAGGGGAACACCAAGGTTCAGGACTTCCAGTGAGAGAAGACAGCCCCAGGTCACTGCTGGCTATTGGGCAGGGGAGGCCAGCGCCCTCCGGAAGCCTTCTCTGTCCTGCCTCTAACCCTCCTAGGCCTAGTGTTCCCTTCTGGCCAAAGGGCTCCTTCTAGTACCCCAAACACGAGGCCCATTTCCTGCTAAGTCACTGTTTTTAAGACCTGTAGCATATCCCGAGGTCCCAAATCCACAAAAACACAATTTCTCTACCATAAGGAAAGGCACAATGAAGGCCCTCAAGGATTCCTGATAACACTAAGAAAAAAGAAGGGGGATGGTGGCCAGCAACACAATCCTAAATTACTCCTCTCCTCTCCTTAAAAGGGTGGAGTGGTGGGGTGCAGAGAAGGTGGAGAGACCCCTCTTTCTTACAATGAGTCTTTTTTTTTTTTTGGTACTGAAGATTAAACCCAGCGCCTTTACACGGAGTGACATCACCAATCCTTTTGTATTTTTGTTTGGTTTATTTATTTGAAAGGGCCTTGTTATATAGTGCAAGCTGGCCTCAAATTCACAACATTCCTACCTCAGCCTCCCACGTGCTTGGATTACAGTCGTGTACCACCGTGCCTGGCCCTTTTTATCTAGACAAGATTTTGCAACATCACTAAACTGCCAAGACTGGGCTGAAATTTATGACCCTCCTGCCTCAGCCTTAGGGTACTGGGATTACAGGAGTATATGACTATGTCCAGCCAGGAAATCGTCTTTAAGAAATGTTCCAGCTTTTCTTTTTTTATGGCTATATCTTTCAGTAATGCAGAGAGAAGTCAAGTCCAACCCTGAGCTATGGGAAGGCCTGGGCAGGAGTACAGATCCTGTCATGAGGCTTTGGCACCTGCTCTGTGTATTCTGCTACCTTTCTGGGAGGCCAGCTCTGCCACAGGAACCACAGGCAATAGCACGAGCAGCAGCAAAGGCGGCCCCCCACCTCCACTCACAGGTCTCGGGGGTCTCCATCCTAATGGGAACCTGGGGATGAGCCGGGCAGGGCTGCCTGGATTCCCCTTCGTTATGCCTTAAGGTTTAGTCTGGCCTAGAGCTACTGCCCTCCTATTAAAACTGGCCAAATCTAAATGAACAAATTAGAGAAATCACAGACACAGGTAGGGAAGGCAGTCTAAGCTGATAAGGCTTCTTTGGACTTTGATGAAGCTGCATGAATCTAGATGTTAACATTATAGTCCACCTTCCATATCCATTAGCTCTGCAGCCGTAGAATCAACCAGCTGTGGATTGAAACTATTTAGGGAAAACTGCATATGTGGGGAACAGGTACAAACTTTTTTCCCTGTCATTATTCCCTGAGAACAACTATTTCCGTAGGCAGCATTTCCACTGTGGTCTGGAAACATCTGAAGTGTACAGAAGCCTGCTGCACGGTGCGTGTCTGTAATCCTAGCACTCCGGAAGCCAAGTCAGGAAGACTGCAAGTTCAAGCCCAGCCTGGGCGATTTAGCAAGGTCTCGTCTCAAAAAAATAAAAAGGGCTGGAGATGTAGTTTTTAATGTCAAGGCCGTGGTTTCAATCTCCAATATGGAAGAAAACAAAGCAAAACAAGAAAACCCCACCCAAAACACCAAAACCCCAGAAAGATATGTGTAGTAAATAGCACACCATTTTTACATAAAGGACTTGGCCATCGTGGATTTGGGGACAGGTTCCGAAACCAATCCTCCGTCCCCAAAGATACCCAGGGATCTCTACTGAGTCTGTGGTAGGGCAGTGGCCGATGTCTTCAGGAAAACAAAGGGGGAACAAAGACACGACATTTTCCAAACAGAAATCCTGAAAAAAAATCATAAAGGTCAGGAAAGCACACTCATTCACACCTGAGGTGTACACACGGAACAAAGGTGCCCCT